AGGACAACACACATGAAATACGAACATTAAACAATCCAAGCTCCTCCATACTACTTAACGGAGCCGATTCACTATTGACGAACATATACAACAAAGACTAGAAATGGAGAAGACGCATACAAACATAACCAAAAAGCTTAACCCGAACCACAACCAAAACAACAACATCTTCCTGAAAAAAGCAAAGCCAAGAAACAGACCGCCTGATAACTTCCAACAAAGCCACTCCCTTAGTTTCACTGAAGTACGCGGCAAGCATGAGTGGCCTCCAAGAGCTAGGAGAATAATCTCCGAACTGGAAGTAGTAAACTCCAAACCAAGCATGATGACCAAAGGAAAACCAAAAACAAACCACACCTAATAATTAACAAACGAACTAAACACTAGCACTGTAGAATAAGGAAGCAGGAACCGAAACCAGTGGAACAATTAACAATTAAAGATAATTGATTCCGGGGTTCGCACAAAATCTACAACGTGAGGAACCAAAGATGGCCATAGAAAGTTTGACCAGAAACCAACCTGCAAAAGGACCAAATTGAAAATCCGATCGACTGAGAAAATGTCACCCTGAAATAAAGACTTATTTCTGCACAACCAGATCTGCCAAATCAGTCCGAAGAATCCGATAAACCATAGATTCCTAACTTTCCTACTAATAAACTGGGTCGACCAAATTTCTAAAAGTTGTTTAATGTTCCTGGGGACAATGACAGAAACGTTCCATAAATTACACCACTTTTGCCACACTTGCCAAACGACAAAACAATGGCAGATCGCATGGTTAACATCTTCCTGGTTATCTTTACAGAAAATACAATAAAGCTGGACATTGCCATTTACCCCTCTCTTCATCAGTTCCGTCGCAACCGGCAACCTGTTATAAACCGCTTTCCAAACAAAAGCCGCTACTTTAGGTGGCATGAATTTGTTCCAAACTTTACTCCAAATGGGGTCTTGAAACATACCGACCGATGCCACCTTGATACATAAATCTTTTGAGTTATAAACGCCATTGGAAGCACCTAACCACACCAATCTATCGAGCCCAGGCATAGCAGACTCACCTCTGTTGATTATTTGATTAAACTGATTCCAAATCGAGATCTCCCACGAAAATAGCCCACGCCTTAATTCAATCCTCCAAATCCAAACTCCATTCACCCAACTCCCAAACTCGCTAATTTTCCCTATTTCTTAATAGCCATTCCATAAATTCTTGGAAAAGCTACTTATAAAGAACGAATTTCCGACCAATGATCACTCCAGAAATAAATTCTAGAACCATTACCCATAACACACCTAACATCAACAATGAAGTCACTCTCGTTCGACGATACCGAGCGCACTATGTCATACCATAGTCCATTCGATCTATGCACGCATAGCCAATTAGGAAGAATCGCTTGAGGATCGTAATTATACTTAGCGACTATAATCTTTTTCCAAAGACTATCGTTGTCCTCACTAAAACGCCAAATCCATTTATTCAACAAAGCTCGATTTCTGACACTGACATCAAAAATGCCAAGACCACCGTGAGATTTTGGTCCACTAACCACATCCCACTTAATCCAATGAATACCTCTATTATAATTAACATTCCACATAAATTTCGCTATACTTTTATTTAACGCCTCTGAAATGGATTTGGGCAAAGAAAATAAGGACATGTAATACACCGGTAAGTTGGCCAACACTGACTTAATCAATGTAATCCTACCCCCGAAGGAAAGAAGCTTACCTTTCCAACTTTGAAGACGAACTCTGACTTTCTCCAATACTGGATTCCACAACAACTTCTGGTTTATTTTATAACCTAAAGGCAGTCCCAAGTACATCGTCGGCAGCTTTGCCCAATCACAAAACAACGAATCTGCCCATCTTTCAACTCTGCCATCCTCCACATTAATACCAAATAATTTCGTTTTCTTCATATTCAATTTCAAACCAGCCGCGACCTCGAAAATTCTAAGAATACGAAATAGATTATGGATATTCCTTTCATCAGCTTCCGAAAAAAGAATTAAATCGTCTGCAAACTGGATGTGGAAAGCACCTACTCTACTTGAACCAATATGCACCCCTTGACACAGACCTAGATCAACCGATTTCTTGAATGAATTATTTGGTTTTAATAAACAATGATGAGTTCTTTACGCAAATTCCATATCTCAACTAGCTCTAAACAGTAAAACACTGACGATTCAATACGAAAAAAAATCTGTATACTGGGGTACAATCGCAATCTTATATATATATATATATATATATATATATATATATATATATATATATATATATATATATATATATATATGTATATATATTATTGTGAAAAAGGTAGGAATATCCAATAATTTATACTTTCTATATATACATATCAATATTAGTTTATTTGTAGAATGTATGATGTTAAAGTGAGCTGTTAATTTGTGTACTCTGCGAAGAATAAGAAGAAAGCAGAGCACCTATTTTTTTGCCAGCAATTTTCAATTATGTGAGGAATGAAAAACACAAGATTTTAAGTTAGGGACGTAAATTTATAAAATTTTAAAATTGAATATATTTATAAAATTAAGTAAACAAAATAGATTTTTTTAAAAAAATATTTAAAATATTTAATGATTTTAATTTTTTAGTGACGATTGTACTACGTCTGTCGCCGAAAGGTGGCAAGAGACAAGACTAGCTGAACTGCGCTCTCAATTCTAAGACAAAAGTGTTTTAAAGCCACGTTGATAATAATTGCATGGAGAAAAGCAATTTATTATATTTGGTGAGACGTACCAATGAGAGTGGAACAGCTCATCATCTTTTCCAATTATAAAATAGGGTAAATTAAGTATTTAAGTCACCAAACTATTTATACGGTACAACTTTGATCACCCAATTTCTTTTTAAATAATCACTAATGTTATATTTTAGCTTCATTTTAGTCATCAATTGTTAAAAGATTAATGGAGGTGATATTCTGTCAGCATAAGGCACAGGGTCGGCTCTGGGTATTTTTTAGCCCGGGGCGAAATAAAAGAAATGGGCCTTTAGTTATGCAAAATCTTATAGTTCTAAATTAATAGGTATTATGAAAAATATTATGGGTCCTGGGCGGGTGCCCCTCCTGCCCCGGCCTAGGGTCGGCCCTGATAAGGCAATAACAATCATCATTAAACTAAAAAAATGGCATGTCGGTAGTTTTGTTAATTTATTAACGATGGGAGACCAAAATAAAATCAAAACTAACGTTAGTGATGATTTAAAGAAAAAAATAATTAACTAAAATAGAACTAAAGTAATAATTGAATGACTAAATACGTAGTTTACCCTCCAAAAATTGTTATGTCTAGGTTCTCAATCAAGATGTAATACTTACTCTCTCTGTTTTTAATAATTTGATGTAATTACGAGATAACATTTATTTAAATAACTCTTAACAATTTGATATAAACACTCAAACCCGCGTTTGGATTAGAATAATTGAAAGGAAATAAAAAAAAGAAAGGGGAATGGATTATAGTATATTACAAGGTAGGATCCATTATCTGATATGAAGAGCTAATGATCCAAAATGTGAACTTATTTTGGGCCAATTCCGTATTTCTTACTGATTATATGGCCCAATGATTCACCCATTAATGCTCACTAATTTTTATAGATGAAGAAAATTTTGAGTAATTTAAAATTTATATTAAAGATGAAGAATTCTTTTTCCTGTAAAGTCAATAGGGATGGACATGGGTTGGGTCGGGTTTTTGGTCCACCCGACCCAAGGACAAAGAGTCCTCCACCCGAGACTCGACTCAACCCGATCAAAACAAGTTTCCACCCGACCTGATATATAACTTAAAAACTCGACCCGACCCGAAGTAATAAAAAAAATTATTTTTTATTCAATAAAAACAGTGACTTAATTGAAAAAAATAATATATAGAGGGGTATTATTGTAATTATTCTTAAATATATAAGGTAAAATTATATATTTTTTCGGGTCGGGTTTTTTTCAACATAAACCCGAAACTGACCCGACCCAAATACCATATTAAAAAAACCTGACATGACTCGAGCCCGAATTTTTTTAAAAAAAATCCGACCCGATCGGGTCGGGTCGGATTGGAACCCGTCAAATTCGGGTCTCATGCCCATCCCTAAAAGTCAAGTGTTTAATAAATTCGAGAATAAAGCATAATTGTCTTTATTTTAAAACTTTTAATAAATTTAATTAATTATTTTTTAAAAACAACTGATTTGATTAAGGGTTAAATGTTTAACATATAATTAATTTGATTAATGATAGTTTGATTTAACTATTAATAAAAACCATCATTTCAACACTTTTTATATATTTATATTTGTAATCAATTTAATATGATTTATACTAAACAATCCTTTTCTAGATTTTATTTTCAAGTAGGGTGATGAGAAAATGAATTTTTGTATAAGAGGTGATTCGGAATTTATTTTTTCAAATAAGATGATTTTTATAGTATTTGAGAAAGATGTTAAGATTGTCCGACGTCTTCAACTGAAGACATACGAAAGATTTCGAATGATTCTAATGTCTTTCCGCATACTATAGTATTCATCTCATTTGAAAGAATAAATTTTATACCACCACAAATGGGAGAAAAAAAATCATTTTTTTCAATCCCCTATCCATGTAATTTGCCCAGTAAAACATAACCACACCTTCCTGGAACTTTCCTCTCCCCACCCACCATTTCCATGGCTATAAATATAAACCCCGAGAACAGCTTCATAGAAGGTGGGATTAAGAGAAAAATATACACATCATCATGGCTCTTCACCTCTCTTGGGTTTTCATTTTCAGCATTACAGCCACATACAAACAAAATCTTCATGTTTTGTCTCAGTGTTTCAATCCATGTTTCCCTTTTTCTTTTGTCATGTTTTCGTGTTTTTTGGAAGCGCTGTTTCATTCATGGTCTCCTTGGCTTATCAAACTGTTTTTTTTTTTTTGTGCATTTTTACGTACTTTTACTATGCCTGATGAAGGAAAAGGTAAGTAACATCGGCAATTCATCCATTTCGACATATTAGAATCATGTCACGTATATACCTATATGTATACGTTGAAGAAATTGATGGATGAAGAGATGTTACCTTTTCCTTCTTGGGGCCATAGTAAAAGTACGTAACAATGTAAAAAATCTGAATAAAAACGCAGAAAGTGTTGATGGTGATGAGGAACATAGCGTCTTTCTTAAGCAGAGCATAGTAAATCCAAAGCACTGCACTGAAGAGCGACACCACATAGGGAATCGACTGGAAACCTTCCGATGTTTTCTTCTTGCATATCTGGTAAAATGCTGGCCTAAAAAATATTAATGGAAACGTAATGAGCCATGGCAGAGAATCATGTGTACTTGTGGTAATGCAAAATGTGGAGGTTAAACTTCAACATCAAAGTTTTTGTTACGTTTGTTTTCTTCTTAGGGGCTAATAATATTTTATTTTAATGATGAATATATATATATTACCACCATTAATCAATGTTTTTTATATATACGATAAAAGTATGAATATTTAGAGCGATTTGAAACTGTTGACCAGCTCCGGTGGACTATGGCCACCTTAGACGACGGTGGCTGATTGACTAAAGTTATCAGGAGTAGTTAAAAGTCAACGCAAACTGTTGCCTTCAAGACAAGGGAGAGGGAAAAAGAAAGAGAACCCAAAATTAAAAAGGAGCCGCCTTTTTTTAAATTTATTTGCCTTTTTTCCCAAAAAAAGATTTTTTTTACCTAATGTTATTCCTCAATTATTTGTACTTAATTGAGACAAGAAAAAGAAAAGATTGAATTTTGAGAAGTGGAATGGTTTGCAGCCTCCACCAGATTTGGCCGATGAAGCTAACGGCGGTGATGGTTTCAGTAGAACTTACAAAGCTTGGAAAGGCAGCAATGTAAGCATAAAAGGAAACAAATTTCATTCTTTTATATCTCTTTTGGTTGTTTGTTGATCAAAGATCTGCAATTTAGGGTTAATTTGGTTGGATCAACGCCGTATGATTTCCTCTCTTTTTTCTGCAGGTATTTGCTTTGGGAGGAAGATTTATATTTGGACCCGATGTGGGATTCCTTTTTTTCACCATCTTCTTAATTGTTGCTCCTGTTGCTGTCTTCTGTGTCTTCGTAGGACGAAAATTAATGGATGGCTTATCTCATCACCTCGGAGTATCGATAATAGTTGTTGCCGTGGCTCTCACTTTATCTGTTAGTTCATGTACACCTGCAGCTAATGTTCTGCGTATCGAAATCATGAAAATCTTATTATTTTGTTGTTTTTATGATCGGATGCGGTTATTAAATGTCGATGCTCGTACGATTGTTTGACTGATATCATGAACCATTTAGATTTGCTACTGATTCTCTGCATTTGGATTATCAATTCAATACTCAATTTCATTTCGTGTTCTTAAATCAATTGGTATTCAAACTTGTTTGCGATCATTGGTTTCAAATTCCAAAATCAGTGCAAATCTGACGAGATACCAATGACTTGTGTGTACGCAGGATATAACTCTTCTTTTGCTAACCTCAGGAAGAGATCCCGGTATAATTCCGCGAAACTCGAACCCTCCCGAGCCGGAAGGTTATGAAGGAATGAATGAAGCTTGGCCTGGCCAAACTCCGCCGTTACTATTACCTCGTACGAAAGATGTGGTTGTCAATGGTATAAGTGTGAAGATCAAGTACTCTGTTACTTGTTTGCTGTATTGACCTCCCCGATGTTCTCACTGTTCGTTATGCAATAACTGTGTCAACAGATTCGATCACCACTGCCCTTGGGTCGGTCAGTGTATCGGACTGGTAATACACATTGTTTCACATGATATTCTCTGCTTTTTCTTCTGCATTATCTAGTCTTTCGGCTTTTCGTGGCACGATTTGTGATCCTTTGCAACCTGAGAATTGTTCAGTGTAACTATGACTTGCATTGGTGCATTCGAATAGGAACATGTATGATGATGATGTCTCTGATTTCCTCCTCTTGGTTTGGTTCAGCGGAATAACCGATTCTTCTTCTTGTTTATCTTCTCTATAACTCTACTTTGTTTATACGTGCACGGATTTTGCTGGGTTTATATCCAGAGAACCATGGACGAAGAGGAATTGGCGATCTGGAGAGCGATGACTAAAACCCCTGTTTCCATTGTGTTGATAATCTACACCTTCATTTCAGTGTGGTTTGTTGGAGGTTTAACCGTCTTCCATTTGCATCTAATCAGTACAAACCAGGCAATATTTTTTTTTTCAGATCATTGTATATTTGTATCACAAGATCACGAATTTTCTGGTAAATGACAAACTACTGAAAAGGTTTATGTTTTTAAATCTTGTTCTTGTTCTATTTGAAGTGATTTACTTGAATTGATCGACTTCTTTTTTGTACTTCTGGCAGTCCACGGACGAGAAATTTAGATACTGGTATGATCGTCGTGAGATTCCATACAACAAAGGGGTCATCAAGAACTTCATGGAGGTATTTTGCACCAGTATACATCCGTCCTAGATAGACCTAAGGGAAAAGATTTCGAAGGAACCTGTAATTCCACCGATAGGGCTGTAAATGAGACGAGACAGATCACGAGCTACTCGAGATCGATTCGATAAATACTCGAATCGAATGGACTCGAGCTCGACTCGAATTCTTAACGAGCCGAAACGAGCTACTCGATATCGACTCGAAACTATTAATATTTATGTATTGATTTTTTTTAAATACAGTAATATTTAATGTATTTAAAGTTCATGTTCGAGTTTGAGGCTTCAATCGAGTTAGGTTTAAGAATTTTTTTTCATTTCGAGCCTTTTCGAGCTGCTCACAAGCTTCAGTTCAGGATTTCAAGTCGAGCTCAGCAATACTCAAGCTTGACTCGGCTCGTTTACACCCCTATCCACCGAGAACAATAGGTGGAGATTCTATCGGTCCGAACAAAGGGAACACCTTTTGTGACATTGCAATGGGAGAAAGCCAGTGTGGGAGAAGGCTTTAGGAGATACAAGTGATTACAAAGGACGACAACCCGGTGTTGACTATATGGACAAAGACAGCGGATTGCCCGGTGTTTCTCCCAATTTTTGCAGGGTCCTTACCCCGGAGAACACGGAAGGTGGCATCATTCATCATCCTAGGCAATGCTGAATCGTCAAATCCGAATCAACAATACGAAACGATAAACTGTCAAATAAAAAGTAGGCAAAAATGGAAGGAGAGGAGAAAAAGTGGGAAATTGGTTTGGATTACTGGAAAGTAATGCTTTAATTTTTTAAATGCTAAACTGTGTTATGTTAATACGATTTCTTGGGGCTGGTTTATTCCTCCCCAAAAGAAAAGCAGAGCCTTCCATGAAATGGCATGGGCTTATACTTTTGTACTTGAGACAAGTTGAAGATCCTGTGAACAATTATATCCCAAGACTAATTTTAAAACATAACCAATGTGAGATTCATTATTATTTTCTAAGATAAACAGGCATTTGTTTATGACCACATGAAAGTTCAGATGAATGATTTGTAGAATACTCTACGCAAAAGATGTCCTTGTAAGTTGTATAGGAATTTCAAATCCGAGCATCTGTGTTAAAAAATACAGCAGATTTTGCAGGAAAAGCTAACAATCCGAGCATCGGTTTACTGCATGGATTGAACGCGTTTCATAATGATCATAGTCATGTCCATGAACCGTTGAGCACAATTAGAAAGGCAAGCTGATTCACTAGAGCTGAATTTGTTCCCAGGAGTGCTTGTGATACACTTGTCCCAGCACACACTTGTAAGCTTTGCCACCATCTCATTGACCATGGCCTTTTCCTTTTCTTGCTGCATAGCCACAACAATAAAAATCAAGAGCCAAAAAAAGGGCAAGATTTTAAGCTTCTCCATGAACTGGAAAGGCTGCATTTAACTATTACAATAATAACTATTAAAGCAAAGGTCGCCAAACTATTTCAACAATCATTAATCTATCACACTTAACAACAATAAGCAATCTATACCAATTACAAAAACAAAACTCATCATATAACAATGTCTTTTCACTTTCCATTTCTGCATAAATTTTTCAAAGGTATATGAATGCCTACTAGTCCTACCTTTTCCCTATTTTGCATTTTCAGATAATGGGCGGGCAAAGATTTGTATAAGGATACTTGAATACCAACTCATGCACACTGAATGATGACTCGAAGTTGGCTGGAGACAAATCAAAAGAAGATTACGACACACTTGTGCCTTCCAACCTACCACGGCCATAAGATGTGCATGGATAAATTTCGATGTTCCTTCCTATAAAATATGCTAATCGAATCATTCACACAACATACGATAATACTAAATGGATTTTGCACTCAAAAAAGTCCAGAAAGCACTCTTTAAGTTTATCATCTTAAGTAATACTTTCTCACATTGCATTTAAAATCAGTATGTAAACTGTCATCAACCATGATTAATGAGAAAATTACTATAATTACAAATACAAACCTTAGACAGTGTGCTTAGGGTTTCATTAACAAAATGTAGAATAAACAAACAATACTACAATCTGGATCTGAGTTTATAAGCAAACGAGAATCTGATAGTTTTGATACACATTGTTTTGATACACACCAATATCTTTATCTAATGTATGGAAAAAAGCAACTAAGATGCAACCTATTAAATTAAAATAATATCATTATTACAAATTTCATGCTTCCATGCCTAAATAGTAATCTTAAGATGCTCGATAGCAAAAACCCTTGAAAAAGACTGTTAGTCATATAAACAGAGAACAAAGTGCAACTACCAGTATCACTTTTCTAATTGAAATAGTAATAATTTTACAAAGAAATCAAATTCAAAACATATTTGAACTTAGGATGATAAAATTAACAGAAATCAGAGCAATTAACAGATTATATCGGTAATGAAACAAAAGAGAGAGGGGACAAGAGAGAGCATACATTGAGGAATCGTTGAAGATCGGGAGAATTGAGAGCTGATGGATCCATCTGCAGAAGATCGAATTTAGCACTGCTTTTTGCAACGGCAGCCAAGAAGAAAAATTCAGCCTAAAACCCTCTTTCAAACGCAACAAAATTTCACAAAAACCCTAAGAAAGACTGTATATACATGGATTGGACTAAGCAAAAGACCAGTTTAAGCCCATAGTAACCTTATGTTATGGGTCATAACCTTAAATTGGTTCCCAAATTAGACCTAAAATTTTAAATTTTACTAAATATTGAAATATTATTACTGTTTTAAAAGTCAAAAAGAAAATATTATTCTGCCATATCATTTCAAACAATACTCTAATAATTTCGGGGGGGGGGGATTGCTGTTGATAAATAGAATTTTAAAAATAAAATATTTTAAATTTAAAGCCCGCTAGAGTAAATTATTTGGTAAATAATGTTTAGGTATGAGTTTTATAATTAAGTTTATTTAACAAAATAAATCCAAAATTCTCACCCAACGTACGCCAAATTTTTAAAACTATTTTCATATTTATTTTAAAAATAAATTGGATAATTTAAGTATTTTATTCATAATTCAATAATTCTAACCATTTTGCATGGAAAATTGTTTTGCCAAAAGAATGTCGTACCTGTTAATTTAAAAAAAAATCGAATCGAAATAACGACAAAAACTGAAAACACACGTGACCAAATGTTGTTGTTTAGAGTTAGCAAATGAGCAAACCAGCGTGGTAACAACAGAAAATTCCTACCGAACAAAAGAATCAAAGGTACAGATTGATTTATAAACAACATTACTCCCCACAGTTAAATTACCAGTGCAAATCCATAACAAGATGCATACATATAAAGATTTGAAAACACCCCTTTGGCCACCATTCTCATCATCCATTTGCCTTCCTCTCCCTTCAGTTCTCTTTAGCTGCTTTTTTCTACCATCAATGGGGTTACAAGCATCAAAGCTATACCGTAAAAAAGATAGAGTGCAAGATAAAGTGATGTCTCTTCTCGGCCGGAAAATGGATGCGCTTAAGACACGAAGGAGCCACTCTAATCTTTCTAAACAAATGCTGCTCAATCCTGGATCGGAGAATGCCTCCGTATCGTCTCGAGTACCCGATGATGATAGCATCGGGTCTGCGAGAGTAGTGGCTGCAGTTTCCGATAACGATTTTAGAGAACATGATAGTAAGGTAAATGGGGACGATGTTGAAGCTCACAAGTCGATAGTTAGAGAGGCCTCAGCCATGGAAAAGCTAACATTGGAAGAAAAAGATAAAAAGACAGTTGAAGAAACTGAAAGGTTAAAGAAAGAACGGTCTGCTAATCTTCTTTGTCCTGGATCACCAAGTTTTAGATTTTACCTTACTGATAACGACAAGGAAGAGGATTATTCGAGTGAGTTTTTTCTTTTTCACTTTCCAAACCAATGTTCATAAACAAGCCGTAATTTTTTTTTATGCATATAGGCAAAGATGATTTGACGATCAAAGGGCCGTTCAGTGATACCGATGCCGTTGAGCCCCCAACATCTACTGAGTTGACAATCAAAGGGTCATTCAGTGATACCGATACCAATGAATCCCTAACATCTACCAAGGTATTTCATGATTCGAAATGACTTTTCGATCTGCAATTGTCACTAAATACATTTAAAACAAAGCCAAAATCTGATGGATTTCTGGGTTTTTGTCGCTCTTACAGAAACAGGGAAGCAAGATGAAGGGAGGAAGAAGAGGGATGAGATTTAGAAGGGTGATACCTATGGGAAGACCTGTAAAGAATTTTCTCAAAGTTAAATCATGTTATTATCCATCTTGTGGTGGCGGCCAAAAGGTTGGCCAACGTTTGATTACAGAAAAACCGGCAGAAATGTAGATTACGTTGTTAATTAAAGGCAAATGATTAGACCCCAATGCTCTTTCCTTAGTTACCCGATAGGAGCCGTATGCAATTGATAAACTCAAATGTAATAAATAGATTACAGAATATGACAAAAGCAATGAGGGTGAAATGCTTGAAATGTCGAATGCCTTAAACGTCTTAAATTCGGATCCAGAGATAACTGTTAAATCCTTTAGGGCCTCGGTAGAGATCATTGGCAGTTTGATCTCTACATGCATACAGGGCTCACAGTTATGTAATTCCAAAAACACTAAACAGAAATTCAACCAGGCATCATTCTTCTCCATAAAATTCAGGCTTTGGTTCATTACAAGGTTAGAACTTAGCGTACTCGCAAACTTCAAGAAAAAACAGTATCGGCGACTCATTTAACAACAAAGTGCAAGTAACAACATTTCATCATCAAACAGAAGTTAATATG